ATGTAACTGATAAAAAGTCGTCTTTACAGCTGTCTCCAGAGATCCGTTTTATCATCAACAGCAGAATTCGAACCAGTTTCCAAGTTAAAAAGTATTTAAGGAATTCTTATAGCTAGAAAATGACTACGTAGAATGATGTAATTAGCTGTTATCACAATATTTTTTTATGCAAAGCTATCATCATTCCATTTAATGATGAATTATGATGGAGAGTTCCATTTGATACTCGTGGTATTTATATTTACCGTGACTTTTTTCTTTTAATAAAAATTTAAGATGTGTTTATGTACATGTCATTAAAATTGTAGATAAATATGTAGTTTTTGCAAATTTAATTCACCCTACAGTGAGGATAGTTTTCTTATCATACGTCAAAAATAATTATTCTTATTGAACTTTATTATTTGGTACCGAATACGTTAAATATTTTATTTTATTTCATTCTATATCCCATTGGTTAATTTTTCGGATTTCTACACGGATTTTTAAAAATATTTTTTTAAAAACTACATACTCAGACGAGATGTCAATGTCTGTTAGCTGTCAACAAACTTACTGGCAGGTATTCACAGTACAGATATCCAGGTTTGCCGTTTTTAAAAAAATAATATAATATGCGTAGTAATCCCAAAAATATCAATTTCATCAGTTTGGGTTTTTTTAAATTTTATTTTTCGTAGTTATACTACGTCTTTTAATAAACAATGACTCATAGTATCCTGAAAGTGATCTAATTTATAATGAAGTGGATAAATTCTTTCAACAACTCGTTTTGAATGATATTCTTTGTAGAGCATTAAAAATATGGGAAGTAGGAAGACAACTTATTCCAATCGTATTTCTTTTAAACCATCAAAAAACTGAAATCAAATTTAGTAAGAGGTTATGCAAAAAAGAATTTTCTTAGAAAATAACTTATTATTAAGTTAAATTATAAGTAAATCAATAAAGATATGGAGACAATTTAAATTGTTTAAAGTAAGAGCGAGAAGTATAATAGCTAAATCTCTCTACAACCTGCTAAAAGACTTGGGCCTGTCCAGAACTAACATCAATTCGCTTTTGAAATGTACTTCGAAAGCAGTCCTAGTCAGCTATTTTCAATAGTAATTTTTGGGTTTCTTTAAACAGCTTATTTTACGGAAATTATATGTTTAATCATAATGATTTTGCAGTAGTAGTTGCAAAATTGTAGTTATTTTTTTAAAGATTTGCTTTGAAGATCCGTTCCAAACCGAACCACTTAAAAGTTTCTTAAATCTTATAGATGAGATTATTTAAAGAAAATAACTCATTAAGAGTATAAAATTTTTACGGTAACCGTAATTCATAAATCACAAAATATAGTTTATAGTTCTATTGACAACATTTTTAGTTACCGTTTACGTTAAGCGTCGTGTAACTCCTATATGGAATGACAAAACCTGGTGCTTTAATAACTTTAACTACAATTTTGCATATGTTAGTTGTATGTTCGTGTTTTAAGATTTCATTAAATATGCAGAGACATATACCTATGAACTATTAACTCATCCAAACGCTGAGTAGCCGTTTGAATTAAACGAGTCAGTGAATTCGATCAGCAATAAAGTTAAGACTTTTCTACTATCATAGCTGGCTTTTTCTTGTATCTGACCCCGTATCAAAATTTTCGATAACCAATTACATTCGTGTTCTATGTTTTGTTATCTTAATGTACTTCTTATCATCAATAGGTATTTTCAATAATAATAAAATCTTCATTTAATTATAAGCATATAATCAAAGAAAACCGCTGCGAACTACATTAATCCTTCAAACCATATCAGTATTTTTATTTTCATAATAATTAACAATATATGTGTTTTGTTTAAGATAAAGATTTCTTTTACTACCTTTGATATTCAGTATCGAACTAACTTTGTATTAAGTAGTAGTGTTAGTTTTCAAAGTTTTTCTACAAAAGTCGTCGTAGCTCATCTGGTCTTTTTCGTATTTAAACTACGCAAACATTTATTAGGTGAACCTTAGGGAGGGATAATTAAATGAAACTGGAGCGCCTTCAAAACATTTAAAATTAAGAGGCTAACTAGCCATTATGTAGAAACGTCCAGACTCTCTCCTATTCAATTAATAAGCTCCTACTACAGAAACGACGGACATAATAATTGGCGTTAGAAACACCTGAGCAATATGATGCCAGGTTAAATAAAAATAAGATCAGCGATATGCATAGATTTTATTGTCCAAAACGAGGAAAAAATTACACAAAACGGCGCAAGATAAAAATATGTCGTAAAATTTGGTTGAATAAATAAATTTAAAGCAGAGTTGAAAATCTACAGGCATTTGAGTATGCTGTACCTGTACCTGTAGAGTGAACTTCGAAAACATTATTACAATTAAAATTGTCGCTATCAATAAGAATTTACTAGTAATAAAACAAAGGCAACAAAAAGCTTTTTGAAAGACAAATTTGCCGAGCAAAATTATTCCCTTGGTTGAAATCCTAAAATTGAAATTGTTCTATGGACAATAAAGTTTATCCAGACAACCTATTTTGTTTCATACCCAGGAAGTCAGTCGAAGATTACATTATCCTTCAAATTATTTAAGTCAGGTAGGCATTATTGAATAAACAGATCGATTAGAAGATTTAAACATCACCAGAGAATTCACAATGTGTAGCTATAACCGTCAATTTGAAATAATCCCTTTCTCTATTAATAATTAGTATTAATTCCCTTAGTATTATTGTGGGTTTCCACTCTGCAGGAAAATGGAGGATCAATTATCTATGAATGTCGATTAAAATGTTCTTTTTGTAGTTTCCCACGATTTCGTTTCAATCTAATCAATTATGTTTAAAATATTATTTTTAAAAGTTATTTTGATAATTTTATATTAATCTATTGCGTATAGATTTTTCTTTATACATTAGATTGTATTTTCAGGAACTTATATGAACATAATTATTTTCATGAACTGGGTCATCATCAGTTAGTCAGTCAGTCATTTGTTACGTTATTTGTAAATTATAACAATGTGTACATATCGGTACCGGTTACTTTATTTAATGAATTTTTGTCTTTTAGTGAGATGAAACTACTCAGTATTCCATAAATTCACTGAACGGGTGCAGGGTCCAATACGTCTGACTTGCGACCGAGTTATAGGCTCAAGGGGCCATATCTTACTATCTCACCTTCACCTTCCAATCTCCCCTTTACCTAATCAAAGTTGAAACGAACCTCCTGAGGCTGCCTTAGAAGTACTTTCTGAGAATCAATTTGTGTTAGTCCTGGACAGGAACAAGTCTTTCAGTAGATTGTAGAGAGATTTAGTCATTATACCACTTGCATTTACGTCCATAGTGTACAGTTATTGAGCTCGTAATACTTATTGACCGAAACGAATTGGCAGTAACACGAGAAATAAATTTTAAATAATATATCTCTACAAACCTGAAACCATAATAAATATGTTTAAGGCAAGGTTCGTTTTGTAAGTCTTAAATGTTGAAATGATTTCGCTCCTTTAATAAGAATATCGAATTCCTCAAAATATAGACTGTTGTGTAACATTTTGCTTTTGTTAACCGAGAAAAATATTAGATACATATCTATTAATATTTGAATAAAATATAACTAATATAAAGATAAAAATATTATTCTAAAACTTATCACCTGAATCATTCCAATTCAATCGATCAACATCTTGTTTATAATTTAACAAACGGTTTGATGTATATATGTGTCTATTAATAGATAACTCGTCCCTTCCTCCCTTTTTTTTGAGGGGAAATTACTCAAAAGACCCCTCGTGTTAGACTCCTACTGACTAAAACCTGTTTTGAGCCAGACCGCGGAACATCCCCGACATGACTTGACGTTGGCTCTATGACATCTATGGTGATTTAATGGTTCTTTGGCTACACGCCCTACCCTCGGTCTGGTTCTGGTTTAGAGACAGGCTACCCTTGCTCGCTGCCCGCAGCGGATTCGAAACGATTAGTTGAATTTTTTTGAAGTTATACGTACTTTCTAAGAGTATTAAGACACTACTGACAGACGGTGAAGAAAAACATTGTGAGGAAACCTAGACTTATAATTTCAAATTATAAGTTTGAAATCAGCAACCTGTCTTGAGCAAGCGTGGTGATTATTGTCTAAATCTTCTCTATGTGAGAAGAGAACTTTGCTCAGCAGTGGGCTCTGATAGGCTGATGATGATGATGAAACAAAAGTAAATAAAAACACAAGTTACAATGAAATTTATTATTATCTTGAATTTATTCAAATTTCTTTAATGCCTTTCTTCAGATTCAGTTAATGGTTTCATGTTGACTGCTGTTGAATTAACTTGTGGACCGTCCTGTAATTATAAAATAAAGTACAACTAGTATAATAGTTAAAGCAAAACATACTACATATTTCAAAAAAGATTTTTATCACAAACCATAGATTTAATGAGCATACATAAATTCTCTCCACTAGAAGGTATCCAAAATATCATAATATAATTTAGGTAATATATTTTCAATATATAAACTTACACGGGTACAACAGTATTATTATTACATATTATTAAATTGAAGAACTATATTTTGTACTTAACACTTTAAGCATAATATGTTTAACCAGTTAATAAATTTATAAAATAAACTTATGAAATTATTATTTATTTCTACCTTATTACATTCAAAAGCTCGTATATATAGTTCATCAGCAGGTTGTGGGGGGTTGCTTAAAAATCTTCTTATTTGTGGAGCCAGTAGTTTAGGAGTCGGAGGTATATACACCTTTCCAAGGAGACTATTTATCTTGGATGTGATAACTCCAACAAAAATTGTTGTTAAGCTGCCAGCCAGAGTATACCACATATAAGATACGTGTAGGAGCGCATTAACTTCTGGTCTGAAAGTAACTTCGGTCGTAAAATATAAGTTTAAGACAGCTTATCAAGTTTTGTTAACTATAAATCAAAATAAAGTGTTCTCAAATGTATACAGATCGAAAAGTTTATGGTAATACAAACTGGCTCTCAGTAACAACTGTTTCCACTCGAGTGAAATTGTAGGAACAGCCTTCAGTGGTGAGTGGTTTATGTGGGTGCGATATATATCCCCTTGCTATAGCCATTTGGGCTGACAGACACCACCATGCCATAGCCGCAACCCCAGTAATTCCTCCCACTAAAGCACCCTAAATAAAATATAATACCTACGTAAAACTTTTATGAAGTGTCATGAAGGTACTGTTCTTTTTCGCCTATTGTTTTATTAACTTGGAAAATATGAATAAAGGAGAGTCTAATCTGATAAATTAATAACATTATTTTACTCCTTATTGTTGAATAGTAATTTTAAAAGTAATACATTTACTTATAACTTTAAATGCCAGTGATAAAGTTTTATAAGAATTTCTATTGACTGAAGAAAAGATATGTATTTTACCGTAGCATCAACAAAAGGAATGAGAATCCCCATTGTAAAAACACCAAGTTGTGGACCCATAGTTATTGCTTCTAAAGTCATCGTAAGTTGCAACACCGTTCCCATTTTTTCGACGATAAACACAAGTGCTAATAAAAAATGATATTATTTTTAATATTTTTTTAAAAAGCTAAAGTACTAAACAGGCAAACATCTGATAATACGATAAATATTTTTCTATTCTTCTCTTCATACAAAAAATATTTACCCAAACAAAGAATTCCCAAAACTATTACAACTCCTTTCAAAAGAAAATTTGTTTGTGTCTCGGAGAGACGCTTCTTAAAGAATGGCTTATAAAAGTCTTCCAAGACCACGGCTGACATCGAGTTTAAACTAGTTGACAAAGAACTGAAAAGAAACGAATTATAAATATTAAAAACAAATCATATAAAGAACATAATCCACATTTCATCTAATTCAAATGTTAAATACATTAAACAATAATATAAGATACATATACCTCAATGCAGCACTAAATATTCCGGCAACAAAAACTCCAGCTAATCCAGGAATGTCTCCAAGAACGTCCATCACTAATAACGGTAATAATTGGTCTTTCGCCTTTGCTAACTATGACAAATATAATAAAATTAACTTCAACAAAAGCAAATAATTTGGAATGAAAACATATAATTAGGAGTAGATGGCATTACTGTTCCACATTTAATGAATTCTGTTACTTCAGTGTCAGTGTAGGAGAATTATAAATTTTATTTAAAGCCTGATGTTTATTATTTTATGTATTTGCACGTTCTTATTACTATTATTTTCTGGCGACCGTAATAGAATTTAATCAACTCACATTATTAATTCTTTCTAAGTCACACTAAATAGAATGAAAAGGAAGAAACTGAAGGTATATCATATTATTATTTTTTTCAATAAAATGTCTATTCCTTTACTTTTGTTTGTAACGGATCGCAGTCGTGGAAACGGGCGTAAATCAGAAGACCACAATATAAACAGAAGCAATAGAGAGTTGATATCCCAATGCAGAATAGAAATACTGCCCTAAAACAAAAATATTAACTTTATCAACCAATATTGGAATAAAATATACATTATTGAAAGGGTTATTAACCATTTGGCATCTCGTATGGTTGGTAAAGCTAAATATCGTTGCACCATTGTCTGGTGGACTGCATTCGCTTGTAACCAGTAAACAAAACCTCCAATAAATAAGTTCCATATAGTGTGTCGAGCTGTCGGTCGAAGATCCCAGCTAAAATAATGATAGTTGTATCATAAATATCATATAAAAAATAAAATATGAATCATCCTCTTATTCTTCTCCAAAGTGCAATTACTATTATGTTTACGTTTATTTTAATCAATGTAAATTAAAAATATTTGGTCTGATATCATGTGTTATTTCATTTCATCAATTTATTAACTTCGGTGTCTCAATTCTTCCGCTCTCCAAATTTCGCTGCCACAGAACTCCCACACCGCCGACATCAATTGTTCCTTTAACTGCCACCAATGCCATGGCCCCAACCATAGCTGTTATCTGAATTACATCCGTCCAAACAACTGCTTGAAGACCACCCTACGATCAAATTAATTTTAATGTATAATACCTAAATTATTTGTATTTGTATTTAACAATAGTATGTATATGTAACAAAGCCAGTAATGATCTTTAAGAACAATATTTATCAATTCTACATTGACCATATATCTCCAATACGGGAACTTAAAATTAAAAACACAGAGAATTAAATTGTTGATTTATTACTTACAGAAAAAAAATATTCGTTTTGTCTGTATTTATATAAAAGGTCTAAGAATTCCTAAATGTGTAAAAAGTGGTTGCTTCGAAAAATAATGAATATATGTAGAATAAGAACAAATTAATATATATATATATATATATATATATATATATATATATATTTAGACAAATTACAGCGACTTACTTACTTACTTGGCAATGGGAATGTGAGAGATGATATTTGATTGCATGCTGATCTTTGGTACAAAATACAAGGTTTTTAAAAGGATGTGAGATAATTCCCAGGTAATTAACAGGACTTCTAACGACATAAAATTTAAGATAACAGAAAATCACACTCTTCAGGATTTTTTGAATGACACTAATAATAAAATAGTTACCAAGACGAGCTATAAATTTCTGCTTATTGATGTTATAAACATCGACAAGAAAACTGCCCGGACCGTTTAGGGTATTAACAATGCAACATTAACAATTTGGAGGAAAGATAAATAAACCATGTTATTTCTGGACTAATTGAAATGGCAAGAAAATTTTAATAAAGACGAATCGGTCAGCTTTTTTAAAATGAATGGAAATAAATGAAAACTAACATACTGAAACAGAGTTTCTTCATTGTATCTCTCATTTACGACTACTCTCAGCAGTATGGTGTTCGTTCTCTCCCTTGTGGGAAACATGTGTTTTATTCCACAATCAAATTTGATGTGTTTTACCCCACAATCAAATTCCAATAATCCTTGGCAATAACATAGATTTAAACAAAAGTAATCCAGAAGTATAAACTTATCAAAAGCTCTACCTCAATACCGCATGAAAATCAGAATGGAGAAAACTAAAGTAATGGGGTCTAAAGACGTGACAAAAATATTGTTAGCTTTAACTTATTTCATTAACCTGAAGGTAACTAAACGATAATTTTGTGAAAAAAGAATGATTTTTACAGAAAGCATAGATTTGAAGAGCGTCTTACGTAAATGTGTGATAAAAATACCTTGATTAAATGCCAGTGCTGGGACATAAATAACAATTGGTAACCAAAATACCTAAAACATTGTTACAATAATATCAAGATAAAAATGTATTTTTTATTACAATTTTCTTACTTTCTTTTCTTAACACTTACCAACGTGCAGGCAAATAATATAGACCCAAACAAGCGAACCCGATTATCAAATCTCATTGAAAGGTACTGAAAAATATTTAAAAATACCATAGTTATTCAATTTTTTGCCAAAAATAAGTAATTAATAATTACTATGTAACATGTTTTACCTCATAATTTGAAGTGATCTTGAGTTCATGAAACACTGGTAGGTATACTTGAGTCATAACGATGGTCATAAGAATTATTCCACCCAAGATATAGGAATACTGGGTTCCATACATATACACCTCCGTCGGAGAACCGAGTAAGGTTATTCCCGAAACGAAGCTAGCGACAATATATAATTTATACATCGTATTATATTAGAAAAAAAAACTTTTAGATAACTTAGGTCTTTCAGGTTTTACTTGTATCGAAATAATTGTTAGAAACTTTCCTGTGTACTTATTGAATGCAATCAGCGCTCTTAATAATATTTGTTTCGAGAAAATTAAAAACTTAAATGGATGAGTATATTTTGCAAGGATGTCGTAAAAGCGGTAGATTTTTGTCATCATAATTTACAAATAGATAAAATCTTACCTAGCCACTAAGGACATAGCAACTGGAACCACTTTCATATTTCTGCCACCGAGAAGATAATCATTCTGTGTTGTCTGCTTTTTAAAAAATCCCCAATAGATTCCAACCAAACCACTTATAGCTAACATGAACACGAAAACGATATAATCGACCCAGGAGAAACTTTGCGTTTCATCCAAATTTTTTCCTTTCATTTTTAGATATAACTTTTAGTTTAACCTTTACCTCTGTTCTCTTACGTGAAGTTTAGATGGAATCTAAATCTGTTACAATGATACAATTACGATAACTCGAAATTTAAAAGAGGATGTTGCGAGAGCCCCTCCAATAACTATCAGGTCCGTACTGAGGATTGACATAAGTTAAATAATATTTTTTTTATATAACAATTATTATTGAAGACTTATTAAGTACTTAAAATATTTGTTTAAGAAATAAACAATTTTCTAATTGCATCCGAGACTGTTATTACGTAAGTATTCTGTTTAAAAATGATTTTAATAATTTTATAACTACTAGTTATATGTATAATCAAGGATTCGCCAGTTCTCATTTATGCTAGAAGGTATAAATATAAAAAGAAATCCATAATATTGTTCGTTCAGCAATAATTTATAAACTTTTTTATTCTGCCTTTTCTAGGAAATAAATAATATAAATCAAGACCCAATATAAACAAGGAATACACAAGGCCCTAGGCCTTCTATGTTTTTATGGAATTGCAACGTTTTCAGGGAATAAATTATGTATGGAAGGGTTAAATTATGTATGGAAGGGTTACTTTAAAGAGTGGAAAATCTAAATCTTGATGATCTATTTTTTCACTTTACAAATATTTTGTTATGTATAGCCGTATACAATTTATATTCGCTCTTTGAAATACAAATAGGTACTGTAAGTAGTATTATGTAATATATATTCATTTAAATTTCATTTATTGTAGAAAAACTTTCACACTTCCCGTAACTGTTCTCCGCAACGTCGGATTAATGATAAATTGTAAACAAGTGATTGAAATATTATAATATTAGGTTTTTAAAATGTCTGATTTATTTAAGTATTATGAATTCGGTGCTTTAGATTGAGAGTTCTTCTTCCATTCCTGATTTCTGTTTGTCACTACTCTTTTCCAACTATCAGGAAAAAATTAAACACACTACATATTTTAATCCCCTAAATTGAAAAAAATATATTCTGGTAAACGATTACGGTCCAAAGGCCATAAGTTTCATTTGAATCTTTAGCAATATGAAACCACCATTTTTTTATAGCAATAAAATTAATAACAATGTTATGTAATTAAAACTGATTTTTTACATCAACCAACCTATTCCTTAAAAACATATCTTACACATCAAATTATAATTGTGTCTTAAAAATTTTATGAATTTATTATAATAGCTTGAGAAAATTAAGAAATTTTTAGTAATAATAACCTTACAGTTTAATATGTTGTAAAATATTTCTTATGACTAAATGAATTATAATTACATTTTTTTATCTATTCTTTGAAAGTTATACATTGCTGTCAGTGTAACATCAAATAATGATTTTGTCAAAAATCGTAAACAATACAAAGTTTTCACGTGTTCAATGGTTTAAAAAAATATCATTGATCATTATTAATACTTAGGAATAATTTTACACATTACAATACTTCAAATACAAATAAATAGCCGGCCTACTTCTCAATCCTTCAGAAAAAGTGTACATTTTACACGGAATCGAAGTATATTTCAAAACAATTCTAATAAAATATAAAGAATCTCAAAAGGCACGTAACAAGCAATGTTTAATTTCAGGATGACTTCCGATCAGATGGTAGATCCAATATTGACTATCGGCCTATGGAACTCGAGACAGATGTAGTAAGCCACACGAGTGGATCAGCGAGTGGATCAGTTTTATCAGTGTTAATTATTTTAACACCTGCGCAGCATTGAGTAGGACGATTTTATAATCTGAAAATTCAATTACAATATTACTACAGTTCATAATGTCACATAAGCTTTTGATTTAGCTCGTAGAAATTTAATATAAATCTTAAGTTTGAGTATGCCATGATAAAAGTTATCAAAATTTGTGTAAACTCCTTACGGACGCGAGACGACATCTATTTCTGGGACAACGTACATTTGCTCGTTTAAAAGCCAAATCCATAAAATATACTGAGCAACAATTTAATGTTCATGCGAATAAACGAATATTCCCATCGTAAACATAATGAGGTAACAATATCTATTTTCCCTATGTTTGTGCTATCATAGGCTTTTTATCATAATTAATTGCTTAAAAGTAATAGGTACCAGTTTGCGTTCTTGTCGTACGGTTACTGCAACAGTTAAGTTACAACATTGTCCTTATTCCATTTTTAGCAATGATTTTAACTTGGTTGATTATTATATTCTTTTAACACATCTACATCTGGCGTAGAATGGTTTTAGAGTTACCTTACAGGCCGTAAACAATGCACTCCGGTGGACAACATGTCTTCCTGTTAGTGTAATGTCATGTCCCTGTTATCTCGGTGAGACTTTTACTACTTACAATTATTACTAACTCTGTCATTAAATACACACTCGTATCTCCTCTTTACCATTTATATGTTTGTGATAGTCAAATGTATCGCCAAGTGTCCCATTCAAAACCATCTGTTTCATCTCTGACATAAACAATAATTTAGCTGAAATTAGGAGATCGAGTAGTGATTATGGCTTGACATTAAGCTCATTAAATCCTTGAGTCAATATAATTGACACTCCTAGTATGAATGAAAGGGCTATTCTACCTCTCATTTTTTACAAAGAGCTAGATTTACCATTTAATCACTTCACTTCAAGTCTCTGTTAACGATGTAGAAAATTATTTGGACCAGACGTTGATCTTTCAATTGTGTAAAAATACACATCTGAATATTTTTTTAATTTTATTATTTGTAGTTTTTTTTATGACCACTTATATAACCTTTTATAATTTTTATAATAAAAAAATATGTAGACCCACGGTTTAATGAACAAATCATTTGGCTTCAAGACCGCCTTTAGTTTCATACATTTTTATATTCAATTATAGTTATTTTTTCTCGTATTTCAGTGTACAAAAAATTATATAAAATAATAATAGAGTATGTTTCATGTCCTTGATAAAAAACACTTGAAAAATCACATTCAGATGATAGGTACATATGGGCCTACTTCGGCTTATCGGCGAATAGTGGTATTAATTTATTTATTTTTAGTGTTTGCGCCATCTAGTAGATATAACTGTCCATAATTTATCCTTATATATATTTTACTATGGATAAAAATTGTAATTATAGTAGCGCACGCTATGTAATCGTCGAAAAGAGGTACTAATTTGGATATTGCAATGTTTTAAGTAATTCTAAATACCTAATACAATATTTATTACAAAAATGTGATAGAAATACGAAATTCACTTTTCACTTATTCCATACGTATTATTTTTTTTATAAATAGAAGTATTAAATATCGATTTGTAATATACCTATTAGAAATATTGTTCTGATTAAAATTGATTGAAATGTGTTTCAAAACAACATTATAATTTACAATAAAAATTAGTATGTATAGCGCCTTATCTTAACTTTGTTATAAAATAATTTAAATCATAAACTATGCACGAACGTTTATTTTGATAGTAAAAATGTATTTCTTTGTTATAAAATAAATTGTTAAGAGTAATATTAACTTTTAACATTAATTAATTGAAATGCATATTGTTAACAAACCTGTCAACTATAAAATTATGAACGTAGTGTGAAACTTAAATACGTAATTATCAATCTGAAAGCGACATCTAGTAACAGAAAGTTTAAACGTTTAAAATTGGTCTGAAATGACTTTGCTATTATCCAATAGAGGGCATGAGCTCAAATTAGATTCCTTTTTGTTTGTCTGTTTAATTTTGCTTACAAATTACAGATGACGCTTCTAAATTATATTATTTTTATATTACTCAAATTAGCAGACGGTCTATCTTATGGGAAATAGTCCCTGCCCCACTGGACATCTGCAACTTAAGGGGTAGATGTAGATGCGTTGCGCGCCTTGTTTGTAAAGCAGCCACCTGAACACTTGATGTTTAAATGATCCCATATTGTATAACAGCTCTCTATGTGAGAAGAGGCCTTTGCTCAACTGTGGGCTCTGACGATAATATTCAAGAGAAAGTTGTCTTAAGTTTGGCCATCGTTTTCTTCGGTCTAAAGATAAATGTTTGGATAGTTATATACGTACAGAGAAACTATTTTTAAAATATAATTAAAATATTACATGTGAATGTAGTCATAATAAAACATTTTACATAATTTGACTTCAACGTTGAATAGGAAATTCACACGTAACAACGTTTAATAGATATTTCATTTACATACTCGGTGTTAAAGAGGATTTTTGTTTAGTTTTCAAAACATCGACTATTTCGCATTATATATTAAGTTAATTATAATGATGTAATTTTGATTGGCCAACAAATGTCAAGTGAATATTAGTTTGTTAAATGAAAGCCACATTTGACCCGTTTTGACCCAAATTTAATTAAATTTATAACTGTACATAGATAATTAAATATATGAAAAAATAATACTTTATCATTTGTTAGGATTTTAATATTAATTAAGAAAAAACATGCACCTGTAATTAAAAGTATTAGTCCAAGAGCTAGTGAACCCTGGGAGTAACGGTTTCCTTGTAAGGTTAGAAATTTTTATGTGTTTATGTTTAATGTTTTCCTCATCTGAAAATAGTAAAAAAAATATTTTAATGAATCAATGTGGTTGTTGAGAATTAACTATCAAGCTCAATACATAGGACTGCATATTAAATAAATAAAATAAATGTATGTTACATACCTGAAATGCATTCCTCAGTTTTAGTCGATTGTGATGTGGCAGAATCAGCAGGTTCTTGTAAAAGTATGTCGTATATAGTAGATTTTTTTTGATGTCGCAGGGAAACTCTTTTTACGAGTCGTCCAACCGGCCTTGGTGGGGCTGGAAGGGATGTTTCAGACTCGACCTGGGCAGGCCCCTACTCACTGAAACCACTGCGAAAGCCATCGGCCGCTATGTCGGTGTACCCCGGATCTGTCAGCGACAGGGCACACCAGTGACTGGCCGGTCCTGGCAAAGACCGGACTTACTCCCTCGGAGAATGGGGGCAATCGACAACGT